CGCGCAGGGGGACGAGGGACGCTCTGCGTGCGCGCGGCGGAGCGGAGGACGCTCTGCTGACGCGCTGGACGGGACGAGGGACGCGCTGCTGCGCGGGCAGGGCGGAGGTTGCTGTGCTGCGCGTGGCGGTGATAGGGACGGGCTTCGGCCTGCCGCGCGGCGGGGCGAGGAGACGGCGTGCGTGCTGCGCGCGGCGGACGAGGGACGCTCCTGGCTGACGCGCGGCGGGCCGAGAGCGCTCTGCTGCGCGCGGCGGGCGAGGGGACGCTCTGCTGCCGCGCGGCAGGGATGAGGGCGCCTCTGCTGCCGCGCGGCGGACGAGGATGCTCTGCTTGCCGCGACGGCGGCCGGGACGAGGGCAATGCTCGTTGTGGGCGCGCGGCAGGACGAGGGATGCGTCTGTGGCCGTGACGGGCGAGGGTGCTCTTCTGCTGCGCTGCGGCCCTGGCGAGGCGGGACGAGGGATGCTCTGCTGCCGCGCGGCGGGACGAGGGATGCTCTGCTGCCGCGCGGCGGGACGAGGGATGCTCTGCTGCCGTGCGGGACGAGGGATGCTCTGCTGCCGCGCGGCGGGACGAGGGATGCTCTGCGGGACGAGGGATGCTCTGCTGCCGTGCGGCGGGACGAGGGACGCTCTGCGCGGGACGCACGAAGCCGTTGCGTTTTGGGGTTTCTCTCAATATTTGTCGCACCGTTTCATCAGCTGGCCATTATTTTTTTCGGTTCATTAATTTTTGCACGGGTTGTCGTCCCCTCAGAATGGAGACGTAAGCGTCGGCACACGCCGCATTTTCTCGTCGTTGCCAAGGTAACGTGCCGTGGATCGGCAGACGACGTCAGTGTTGCAGCCTGGTGGAATCTGGGCACGTGACATGCAGTGTTCGTGAGAGAGGCGCTGTGTGAGAGCGATGTTGAACCATTGCTATCGTTTGACGGGTTCATGTGAGGATATTTAGCTATGTGTAGACCTATGCATCTCTCTCTCTCTCTCTCTCTCTCTCTCTCTCTCTATATATATATATGTGTGTA